AATTAAAAAATGGGCAGAGGAGCTGAATAGACACCTCTCCAAACAGGACATACAAATGGCCAAGAAACATATGAAGAAATGCTCAACATCACTAATCATCAGAGAGATGCAAATTAAAACAACAATGAGGTATCACCTCACACCTGTCAGAATGGCCGCCATCAACAAATCATCAAACACCAAGTGCGGCGAGAGTGTGGAGAAAAGGGGACTCCAGTACACTGCTGGTGGGAATGCAGACTCGTGCAGCCACTATGGAAAACACTATGGTGTTAACTGGAAAAATTAAAAATTGAATTGCCATTTGATCCAGTGATCCCACTTCTAGGAATATACCCTAAAAAGCCTGAAACACCAATCAGAAAGAATATATGTACCCCCATTTTTATAGCAGCACTATTTATAATAGCTAAGATCTGGAAATAGCCCAAGTGTCCATCAGTAGACGAATGGATAAAAAAGTGGTACATATACACAATGGAGTACTATGCAGCTGTAAGAAAGAAAGATCTCTTAACCTTTTTTTTTTTTTTTTATCCTCACCCGAGGATATTTTTTCCATTTTCTGTACAGATAGAGTGGGAGGGAGAGAGAAAGAGAGAGAAACATCGACGTGAAGGGACACATCGAGTGGCTGCCACCCACACGACCAACCAGGGCCGGGGACAAACTGCAACCAAAGTACGTGCCCTTAGCGGGAACCGAACCCGGGTCTCTCCGGACCGCAGGCCGACGCTCCAACCACTGAGCCAAACCGGCCAGGGCAGATCTCTTAACCTTTGACAACATGGAGGGACCTAGAAAGTATTATCCTCAGTGAAAAAAGCCTAGCAGAGAAAGACAAATATCACATGATCTCACTTATTTGTGGAATATAATGAACATAACAGTCTGAGGAACTGGGTAGTCCCAGAGACATGGAAGTAGGGTACATACTGACAACCCTCAGAAGAGGGGGTGGTGGGGGGAGGGAAGAGATATACCACAGAACTTATGTGCATGTACGCATAACCGATGGACACGGACAACAAAGCTGGGTATGGGGTCCGGGGAATGGGGAGGAGGGTGTCTGGGGAAAAAAAGGAGAAACATCTGTAACAAAAATAAATTAATAAAAAAATTTTTTTAAAAAAGAAGTGAGCATAGAAGAATTGACTCTTATAGTCTGAGTTGGGTTCAACAGTGGGAAAGCACAGGGAGGTGGCTGAGGGTTGAGGGGAGGGCATCAAGAATTCTGAATGGAGACCTGAAGTATGCCACATCTAAGACAAGTGGACCTGGGATGATCACTCCAGCGATATCATCAAAGCCATGTGCTATTCTCAACTAAGAAATCAACTGGAAACAAGATAAAGACGTGAATTATATGTAATCATCTTGTCTAAGGGACAGAGGAATATTTCCCCATCTCGGTTCTGTAACTGGAAAGCTGGCACCATGAACGGGGTTGTGAAATTAACAAGTATGCCAGCGCTTTCATTTATTAATTGGTATGTCCCATTTTAATTAAAACCATCCTAGCTAATTACTTATTTCACTGTGTGCAACGCCAGCTGAATAAGCTGGAGGACATGATGAGGGTAAAAATAAGCTCTGCTCTCTCTTTAATTTATCAAGTTTGTATTGCTTTCCCTCCTGCCCCTGGTGATTCAAGGGAAACATAAACGTAACCTTCTGACCTTGCCTCTGTGCCTATGAAATGAGCCTCATCTTGGAGTAAGTGGAGACAGTAGAAAGAGTATGGGCTTTGAAATGTATACATGTGGGTTTGAAGGTTGGCTCTGCCATTTATGAAGTATGTGACTGGGCACATATTTAACTTCTCTGATCCTCCAATTGTCCTAAAAATGGGAATAATAATAGTACTCATGACAGAGATTTGTTGTGAGGGTTAAATGGAATAATGAAAGCAAAGAGGCAAGCACGTAATCGTCCCCATGATCACTATCACCACCCTACTTTCCTGGGGTAGTATCTTCTTATCCATCCAGGCTCAGCTTAGCCACCACCTCCTGAGTTCCTGAGAGGTGTCCCTCCTCTCTTTGACTATGTGTTTATCCCTACCATGAGACTATATCTAAATCTTCCATTTACTTGTGTGCCCAACTAATGGCCAATTGCAGTTATTTAAGACTGAAGTAAATAAGTATTTTTTTAAAATATGTTTTTATTGATTTTTTAGAGAGAGAGGAAGGGAGAGAGAGAAACATCGATTTGAGAGAGATACATCCATCAGCTGCTTCCTGCACGCACCCTACTGGGGATGGAGCTCGAAACCCAGGCCTGTGCCCTGACCAGGAATCAAACCAGGACCTCTCGGTCCATGGGGTGATGCTCCAATCCACTAAGCCACACCAGCTGGACATAAGTATTTTTCTTTCAATGTACATGTATATTTTCAAACAACTACCAAGTTAGTAAGACATAAACACTCATTAAATTGCTTGGCTATAACAACATTAACAAAAGTTTAGGTGTGTCTTTTGGCCTAGATGTGCCGGGAGAAGTATTACTGAGATGTATTACTGAGACGCCAGGGGTGCTCACTGTGAACCAAGAGAGCTCAGGAAACTTTTGTTTGGAAAACGATGCAGTTCTGAACTAGACAAATGACGGTGCTCATTATTCTTGTTATAATAAATGTCATGGTTATAATAATGTAACTAGTAGCTAATAGGCGATTGAGTCCTTACCATTTCCCAGGCACTGTTACGAGCATTTGGGTGTGCCTAAAGGGGCCACATGTATTAGCTCCTCTAATCTCCTCAACATCCCTAAACAAAAAGTTTATCTCTCCCACTTTGCGGAAGAGAAAACTGAGGTCTGTAGAGAGGAACTTGCCTAAGGTCCCTGAATGGGTTGAATGCTGGAGCTGGGATTCAAATCTAGGCATTCCGACTCCGGGCTCAGGGGTCTTACCCACCTGCAGGGAGGCAAAGGAGGCACGGCTGAGCTTTCTGGATGGCAGAATTTACAGATTTTAGGGACTGGAGAGAATAAGTGTTTTGGGATGTCCATCAAACTGACTTGAGAAATGCTCCAACTCACAGCCTGATGACTCAGGTGACACAGGACTGTCCTGTGTCTGATCCCTGCCCTTGGACATAGCCAAAGGTTACTGGAAGCCTGCCAGGTGACCCAAGCTAGGCCAAGGAACCCACTTGGCCTAGGAACCGTGCCAAGGAACCGGGGCCTGAATCACTGAGTCTCTGTTGATTTTCTATGTCTGCATCAACCAACCCAAACAGATGGTTACCGTGACAATATTGTCGACAGGAAGCAAAAGTGAAGAAGGTTCACGACCTTTGCTGTTGAGGTCACGCCCCACTGTCATGCTTCCACAGCCCGATTTGTTCAGTGGCGTTTGCAGACCCCTGGGATCCGTACTCTGCCGATGACTTTCTCTTTTATTTGAGCCAGATTTGCTCGCATTCTGTTCCTTTTAACCAAAGGATGTTTAACGAGAACCTTGAACATAGATGTCACAAGATACACCATTAAAAAGGGAGTGGGGACGATACCTCCATCGCTAAATCTTTAGCTCCTTAAGTTGAGTGGCCACGAGTATCATTCAGACTGTAGACTTCGGCTGGGCCAACCCTCAGAAACCAGGCAGGTCTGTGGAGGTCACATGGACAGTTCAGAGAGGTCAGCAATCTACCCAGCAATTACACTGCTGTCAGATGGTAACTGCACATTTGCAAATGCCTCTGTAATTGTTAGTAACAACCGAGGCCTGTTCATGCAGGCCTGGTTACCCAACGCCTGCTGCCATGGAGGGAGCCAGATTGCTCTGTCTCAGCACTTCTGGGTATGAAACAGCAGAATGGAGACTTCCTTCTGCCAGCTCTCAGAAACTAAAAACTCAGCAGCAGTGGACAGTTGTGGGGCTGATTGATGGGTTTCGTGTGGACAGCACGTTCTCAGCCATCACAGAGGCTGACTAAAAATAGTTTGGCTTTCTAAAAATTTAGTAAGTCAGTAAAATGGGCCGTTGCCATTTATGTTACTTTATTCACCGGCTTCCCTGACCTCATGCAGGATGGCTGATGCCATCATTAAACTAAGACATTCCTGTTAATGGGAAGCATGATATATGGAGATGCCCACTAAGAAGTGGTGGATCTCAAGGCACACTTTTCAGAGCTCGTGTCTTTGTGGCTTTTGATGTGGGGTGTCTGCTTGACATCGGTTTTCCTGCTGTCATCATCCTGAGGTAGATGACTTTGTTTCTTCTGATTGGTAGGCATATGGGCCTCTCGTATTCCTTCATTTCAGCTGCTCTCAATGATGACTGATGAAGTTCACCAACATCCGAGGGCCTCCTGTGCCTGTCACAGAACCCATGTGTTCAGTGTCACCGCTCACCCCAAATTCTAACTGCTGGAAAACACCTCAAGTTTGGGTGACTATCCATCTGGCCATTTTCAAGTCTTTTGATATATTATATAGGGTTATAGCTCTGCTCAAGCAAAGTGACTACAAATTATAGTGACAGAAAGGTAATAGAATGTTGTTCTTCTCCCATGTAACAGTGCCAGCTCCCGTGTGAACAGCCCAGGGTGGTGGGTTGCTTTGCTCCACAGAGTCATTCAGAGATCCAAGCCCTTAACATCTTTTGTTTCTGCCATTCCCCCAGGAATTGTCTGGCCAAGGCTGGGCTGTAGATAAGTCCACGATGCAGCTCATGGAGAGGGGACAGAATCCGGGAAAACTGGCTTATCTCTTAAGTTGGAAATGACCTGCCAAGTCAACTTTCATTCACCTCCCATTGGCCTAAACTAAGTTCTAGAGCCACATTTTACTGCAAGGGATCTTGGGTAATGCTGTTGTTACCTGAGAGCTTTGGACTCAGTTTCAGCTCTACTGCCTTGAGAGACAGAGACAATAGATTTTGATGGCCAGCCACAAATTTCTGTCATGTGTAACATCAGAAAGAGATATTACCTCTTATAAATAAGCACATACTCATATACTCAATAAGTATTTATTAAGTGCCTATTGTGTGCCAGATACATTTTCTTATATTGTGGGTGAAATTATGCAACACTATGCAAGACTTTTACTCTTTCAGATAACAGAGGGCAATTGGAAATAAGGCCAGGTTTTTACCTTCATATTGCAGGACAAATATTCGCACCTGTCAAATCCCACCAGCTGGCATTATTGCTGTTCTGAGGATAAGCACACACAGAGCTGCTTAGATAGTTATTTGGATGTTGGTCTCGTAAATCATAACTTGCTTGTTGCATGTTTATGAAGCTTCAGGAAGACTTCTTCAGAGGATGATGTTAGATCATTGAGATTAAATTCAACCTCAAAGGTAGGTTTTTTCCCCAAAATAATTAAGGCAACGAACAAAGCAAATTTTGCAGTTAGTCCTTTGATGTGGTAAGTCGCACCATCTTCTGGGTTTGTGTACTCAAAGCAATGAATAATAAAATGATGACCGGATTCTGTCATGTGATTCTGGTGGTAGGCACGTGGGTGCAGGAAATATTCCAGGGGCACCAGGAATACCTTCTTCACTTCATCGGGATTAGGCTGGGCCTGGAAGTTGTGGTCTATAAGCCCTACAACGGGTGTTATAAATGTGTTTTTCTAAAAGCAGAAAACAGAATACACACATTAAGAAGTGAAGAGATACTGTTTCAAATGCTCAAGTCATGCCTTCCATGTAAACTAAGAAAACAGGCAGCAGCAGCCAATGCATAAGGTGGGGAAGGAAGGAGAACTCACTACAGAGGTAAACTTTATGTCCCCCATGAAGTGGGGGCGTCTCCGCCATACCTTAGGCAGCATCAGTGAGGTAACTCTGAAAATATTTCGTGAACGTAAGTAGGCACAATCTTTTGCAATGGCAATTTGGCATTACCAGAATGTGTTCACTCTGACTTAACAATTGCATGTGTATAAGTATTATCTGTATGATAAATTCCCACCAGTGAGAAAAGATACAAATGCATTAGGTCCTCTAATAACGTCCTTTCATTATAATGTTGATGGGATGCTATGGGAACTTAACTTTGTTTATATCAATTAGCCTATGGTAAAAATGGTTTCATTATTTGTTGTTGGCTTAAAGCTGCAGAGCCTGTCGACAATGTTAAGTGCGGACTTACTGCACAAGACTGAAGCATTATTTGCAATAGCCCAAACTCCGAAGTTACCACTCCTAAATGATGGGCAATTAGGGTAGATCAATCATGAGTATAGCCGTATAATGGGATTCCATGCAGCCCTTTAAAAAAATGTGATAACTTTCCCTATCAGTATATACAAGGACATGCCATCTTATCAATAGAAGAGTGACATAATATTAATTGTGGCATATTCCCATTTATGGGAAATTCGATATATAATCCTATATGAACTATTTTACGTAACACATGTTCATATGTGGGAGGATTTCTGTTTACAATCACAGCTGCTTGCAAATCAATGCAAGGTGCCGTTAAGTAAAAGATCCTACTGGGAATTTTGAAGGGGAGGCCTGGAGTTGAGTGCAGGATTCCACAGCACCCAGTTTGAAAACCACTGATGGAGTTCCCCTTTCATTTCCGGATAGGGTAAGAGGGGCCCAGAGAAGAAAAGGGCTTGCCCAAGGCCACTGAGCTCACAGGGGGCAAGGTCCACACGAGAACCAGTCTCTCGACTCTATGGACGGTACTCTCAAGGGTCAGTTTGGCCACCATGAAGACAGTGAATGCATTGGGAGTTCATGACTCTAGGACACCCAGCTCCGTTCCAACGCTTACATCAAGAAGATAGGGCACCAGGCGGCAGACGACCTCCACCTGCTGAGGAGGCAGCCCCACTTCCTCCAGGGCCTCCCGGAGGGCGGTGGCCACGTCATCCACGTCGGCGGGTTCGCACTTTCCTCCCGGGAAGCACACCTCTCCAGGTGAGCGGCGCAGCTGCGGGCAAGAGCAGAGCGGCACTGTGACTCCAGGCCGGGGCCCTCACTCACTCAGCAAGTCCTCCCTGAACCGGGGTTCATTCAGCAAGTCCTCCCTGAACCGGGGTTTCTCTGCCTGGACCATTCGCATCACACGGGTGATAAGTGGACAAGAGCAAAACCCGGCTTTTACTTGAAAACTTTTTTAAAACAATGAACTTGGAGAACTTCTCTTGCTTCTAACTTTTCTCTGCTTGCCCCCCAAAGATACCACCCACACACAGACTCATCATGGGGGGCAAGCTGAAAGAAAGGGGCGGGGAAGGGCAACGGTGTCCAGAGATAACTCACTGCCCGCCACCATCTTCTGGACATGCTGCTTCACAAGCATTTTTTTCACTGAGTCATCAGAACAGTTTTTATAACTGGGTTTTTTTTTTTAACTTGAGGTGAAATTCCTAACAGAATTAAAGTGAATCAACCGGTGACATTTAATACATTCATGTGACACAGCTACAACCATCCTCTATTTCCAGGACAGTGTCCTCACCGGAGGAGACTCTGTCCCACTGAGCAGTGGGCTCCACTGGCCCCCTCCCCCTCCCCTCACTCGCTGTCTGTGGATTCACCTGTCCTGCGTATTCCCTGGAAACGGAACCACACGCCATGTGACCTTGGCGTCTGCTTCTTTCGCTTAGCGTCGTGTTTCTGAAGTTCTTCCACACTGAAGGTGGCAGCCTTTCCTTCCTTTTCATGGCTGAATAGCTTTCCACTGTATGTATGTATGAATCACAATTTGTTTATCTATCTTTCCAGAATGGACATACAGGCTACTATAATACTACTGTTATTTCCACTTTGAGATAAGGGAACGAAGGCTCAAGAGGTTGAATAACCTGACCAGGCTCACGAGGAGTGAGTAGTGGAGCTGGAAGGTAACCAGGATTTAACCCTAGAGCCTGTGCCCTAACTCAGCACACATGCCTTCAGGAAGACCTTGTACAGAACGTGTGGTCCGGCACCGTCAGCACGGACCTGTGTCACCGCCTCCGTACCTCTGCACCCAGAGTAGCCGCTCTTTTCCTGCATTGCTTCTTCCACGCATGTCCTTGATCCCATGCCTTCCTGACTTCAGAACTGTGTGTGTCTCCCTTTGTAGCATCCTAAACATTTCCCCCTTTTTTATCTCTGTATTTAAAATGATTCCTCTCCTGTCTTGGGCAGGGGTGGAGAAGCACAAACCTCCCATGCTTCTCCCCTCTGCAGGACCAACTTCCCAGCAAACATGACCTCAATTTCTCTATCACTCACTCCCGCCCAGTGCCACCCTCCTTTCTCCCCTGAACTGTCGAGGAGACCTCAGGGTCAGCAGGAGTCCTGGGTCAGCCTCTTCTCAATGGTGTGCGATGCGGGTAATGTCTGTCTTCCTAGAGTCAATCACATGAGCTGATGGCTGAAGCACAGAGCACAGTGCCTGGCCCATGTTAAATATTTATTAACGAGGACTCGTTAGAAACAAAATCAAAAGCTCATCTAGGCATTTTTAGCACCAGGGTCCACATATCCATGTAAGAATAAACTAGATGCCGTAATAAATTTTGTAATGTTCTAAGATCTTAAGTCCCATTTGGGGAAGCCTCTTAAAAATGAAAGAAAACATTTTAAAGTTCCTCTCTGCTAGTAAATCAGTAACAAAACATAAATTTAAGAAAATCAGTTACAGTGCAGGAATTTCTAAATCCACAGAAAACTCACACATCTTTACATCAATTATAGTTATGTGTATGTGAAAACCAGGTTGATGGACATGTTTCTACTGTCTTGACCATTCACCACCCAAATGCACAAGAAATAGACCTGATGTTACATCACCTCTGAAAAGTGACTCCATAGTGTTAGATCATTCGGCAGCAAGGTATCGGTGACAGAGGGACTCATCGGGCGTGACAGAAATACAGACCTGATTTAACGGCTATTTTAAATACTCGTAAGAAAATGTTATGCTGTTTTGAAGAAAATAGACACATTCATAAAAATGATTATTCACAACTGTCAGCATCAGAAAGGGCTCTATCTAAGTACAGAACTTTTTATCTTTTCTTTTTTTGGTAAATAGCATAACATTTTAATTAAATAAAATCTTATGGACTTCTTCTCAAAAGCGGACTAGGGTTGCAGTCTGCCGACGGCACTAACAACGACAGCTGGTGGTACCAAGGTTAAGAAACCCTGGTCTAAAAGTATTTTAAATTATTTCTTTTTCTTTCCAAAACTTCTTTAAGAAAATGCCATGTGATTATCCTGTGGCCCCAGAAACATTGCAATTCTGAAAGACAATCTGGGACTCTCTGGACTAAAAAATGTGTGCGAGTGACAACATTTTGTGGGGTTTTCAAATGTCCTGAGACTTGAATGGCAGAACTTTGTCACCTACCTTCTCTGACCGGAGGGTGAACAACAGATGAAGTTTTCCTTCCTTAGCCAACAACGGTAAAAGGATGGAATATTTATTAGACGACAAGTGAGAATATTTGGTCCCAACATCATGCTTTTTTAAGCGGGCCTTCGCATCATCTATCAAACTGTTTCTAGAAGGGAAACAAACCAAACATTATAGTACCAGAATCACGCTAAAAAATCTCCTTGTCCTGCCTCTGATTCTGCTTTGTTGTGGATCTTGGGGGTCACCATTTCTGAGTCTCAGTGCACCTTTCAATAACATGGCAGAAATAACAATACTTGAATTGCATGATTTTTGGCAAGATAAAATGAGGCAAAAAACTACAGTAGTCCCCCCTCACCCACGGTTTCACTTTCTGCGGTTTCAATTACCTGCAGTCAAACTCTGTCCAAAAATATTAAGTTATTCCAAAAAATAAACAAATCGTGTTGCAAATTCTGCGCTGTTCCAAGTAGAGTGATGAAATCTTGCACTGCCCAACTCCATCCCAGCGGGGGCGTGAATCATTCCTTTGTCCAGGTTTTCAGGCTGTATATGCCACCTGCCCATCAATCACTTAGTAGCTTTTCTGGTGATCAGATCGACTATTGCAGCATTTCTGTGCTTATGTTCAAGTCACCCTTATTTTACGTAATAGTGGCCCCTAAGTGTAAGAGTAGTGATGCTGGCAAGTCAGACGTGCCAAAGAGAAGCCGTAAAGTGTTTCCTTTAGGGAAAAGGTGAGTACAGTTCAATAAGATATTTTGAGAGAGACCACATTCACATAACTTTTGTTACAGTACTTTGTTATAATCATTCTATTTTATTATTGTTGCTAATCTCTTACTCTGCCTAATTTATAATTAAACTTTTTCATAGGTATGTATGTGTAGGAAAAACCATCATAGTCTATATATATGGTTCAGTACTATCTGTGGTTTCAGGAATCTACTGGGGGTCTTGGAAGGTATCCCCATGGGTGGGGTTGGGGTGGGGAACTATGTACCAAGAACGCAGTTTAGTACAGAAGTTCATTTGAAAACAAAATTAAATTTAAATTATGGTAAAATATTTTTTAACAATGCAATAATTCATTGTGAAAATCAATAACTGTATCCAGGTAAGACAGGTTTGCTGAAGAAGTCATTATAAGGTGAGCCCATTGTTTTTTGTTGTTTTTTTAACCCTCACCAGAAGACATTTTTCCATTTTTTGTTCAGATAGAGTGGGAGGAAGAGAGAGGCAGAGAGAGAGAGAGAGAGAGAGAGAGAGAGAGAAACATTGATGTGAAAGAGACATATTGAGTGGCTGCCTCCCACACGACCCCAACCAGGGTTGGGGATGAATCGCAACCGAGGTATGTGCCCTCGACTGGAATTGAACCCACAACTCATTGGTCCGCGGGCTGACACTCTAACTGCTGAGCCAAACCAGCCAGGGCAGGTGAGCCCATTGTAAAGAGTAGATACTTTCTCTTAACCTGGACCTTATATCATGTTATGTTATCAAGCATTCCATTTGTTAGTAAATATTCAACTGGCTTATAACAATGGTTCCCAAACTTTAGCAGCAACAGAATCACCTGTAGCAAGACTACAACACAGATTGCTGGGCCCACCCCAAAACTGTGACTCAGTAAGTTTGGGGTGGAGCCTGAGAGTTAGCATTTATATCAGACTCCCAAGCGACAGTGATGCTGCAGACCAAGGAAACACACTTTGAGAAGTACTACCTGATAAGATACAAGTATTTGGATTTACGACCACAAATCATGCCCTGAATCCACGACTGTGAATTTGTTTTGGTCCCTTTGAAAGGTTTTTGTTGATGGTGTGTGTAGTGGGTTAAACAGTGTTCCCACAAAACCACAAATGTGACTTTACTTGGAAGTAAAATTTCTGTAGATGTAATTAGTTTAGGGCTTAAGATGAAATCAATCATTCTAGATTTAAGGTGGGCCCTAATTCCAACGACTAGTGTCCTTACGAAAAGAGGAGAGGACGCAGAGATAGATGCACAGAGAAGAAGGCCACGTGAAGACAGAGGCAGAGACTGGCTGTGATTCTGCCACAAGCCAAGAAACACCAGAAGCCATCAGAAGCTGCAACAGGCAAGGAAGGATCCTCCCCTAGAAACTTCAGAGGGAGGATGGCCTTGCCAGTACCTTGAGTTTGGACTTGTAGCTTTCAGAACCGTGAGAGCATAAATTCCTGTTTTTTTAAGCTACCCAGTTTGTGGCCCTTTGTTATTGACAACCCAATAAATTAACAGTTTAATTTTAATTTTTCTATGGGAAAGGCAGTTTTGCATAGTGGGCAAAATCAGATATTTTAAGTCAGCTAGAACTGGTTTCAAAAGATTTAGGAGTGACCTCTCTGACCTTTCCTCATCTGTGACATGTTTGAAAGTATTTGCAAGGATTTAATGACATAATTCATATTGTGGCTTGTACTCAGTGGCCTATGTGCCTACTGTCATAAATGTCCCCTTCATTAAATGAGCAGTTGTTTGTGGGAGGTGTTTGCTAATTGACGCCTCTTTCTACATGGCAGGATGCTCATTAAAAGTGGTTGGATAAGCGCAATGAATTGCAAACCCGACCAAAAGGCTTGAAAAGAATCACAGAAGGCTGGCACCTGAGGGAACTCCAGGGTGCACCCCAAGAACTAATCAGAGGGTCCAGCAGGTGCAAAGTCTGCAAATATGCGCCTGTCCACGTTAGGGGCTGGTTCTTGGAACAGTCACCATGAAAACACAAACAAAAGTAGCAGCCACCCTGTTCTGAGTGTGAGTTTATCCCACACTCTTGCCTTGCTTTTCTCTCTCTCTCTCTCTCTCTCTTTTTTTTTTTTGCATTTATCTTTAGATAGAGTGGGAGGGAGGGAGACAGGAAGAGAGAGAGAGAGAAACAACGCTGTGAGAGAGACACATCGAGTGGTTGCCACCCGCACAACCTCAACAGGGGCCGGGGACAAACTGCAACCAAGGCACGTGCCCTTAGCGGGAACCGAACCCCGGACTCTCAGATCCGCGGGCCAAAGCTCCAACCGCTGAGCCAAACCGGTCAGGGCGCTTTTCTCTTTTTATCCTCACAACAGGCCTGCGAGTTGAGCTCATTATCCGGTCCAGGCCTAGAGAGGTTATGTAACTGAGACTCAAGGCCACGACTGGAAGTAGCCACCGGGGAACTTGAACCCTGGGTTGCCTGGTACGGGCTCGTGGTTCCTGAGGTCGAACTCTGGAGCCGCCCCGAGCAGAAGAGGTTAGCCGGCCTGGCAGGAGGAAGCGCTTTGCCCTTGGGGAAGGAGGGGGGCGGAGATCCATGATGAAGGGTGTCAACTCAAGGTGGCCAAAGCCGGCACTGTCTCGGCCCGAGAAGGTGCGTAGGTCGCTGGACCCTGCTTAAGGCCAATGCGGTGAGTGCATCGAGTGCGGGCTCAGCAAAAACAATCGCAGGTGCAAGGCTCCGGCGACCCGCGGCCCGCGATCTGTTCGGCCCCGCCGCGATCACGGCCGGGCTCAGCGTGGCTGGGGCCGGGGAGGCTTTACCTGACCGGCTCCGGAGGACTGGGTCGCGACATAGTTCCGGGAAAGTTAATTTCCAGCAGAAGACTTCTCAAAGGTGCTCTGACAGACGGGCATGCGCAGAGCGGCAGTGGGCCTGGGGCGGGGGGAGAGGCGGGGCCGAGGGACGGAGATGAGGCGGGCCTGTGGCCAAAGACAGAGATAGGGCGGGGCCTGGGAGTGGTGGGCGTGGCCTAGTGCCATAGGCGGGGAATCGGGGCGGGGCGACAGGTGAAGGCGGGGCTGGCGGGACAAAAGGCCGGGCCTTTCTGGTCCTGTGAAGCGGTTTGTTCAGCTCCTTGTTCTTCCTTTGGATCAACAGGCATACGAGGAAATCTGAAGTGGACAATGGTAAAAAAAGAGAAAAAAAGTGAAAATGCAGTGCTGGTGAGTTGAGAGGATTCTGACACTCGTAGTCACTGTTGCTAGGAGTTTAAGTTGGTTCAGCTTTTCTGAACAGCCTTCAACATGCATTGACCGAGCACCTACAATGTGCTGGGTGCAGATCCCACAGCTAGCAAAGAGACACCTGGAGCTTACTGTCAGATGCAAGAGAGAGAGAGAAATAAAAAAATTACATAGATAAAGCAGAGGCATGTAGTCCTTGGAGAGCATCTGAGAGAGAAACGTGACCAAATCAGCAGAGAAGGCTTGCCAGAGAGAGGGGAAACAGAGCCGACCTCCAACGCAGCTGTTCTCCATGTGTAGTTCAGGACCAGCAGCAGCAACACCACCTGGGTGCTATTCAAATACAGACTCTTGGGTCCCATCCCAGAGCTGCTGGATCAGAAATATGTAAAGCCCAGTGATCTGCACATTCTGATTTTGATGCTCAGGGAGCAACTGCTCCCAGGTATGTGTGGAAAGGAATTAAGGGAGAGAGTTCTAGGAAGAAGGACAAGTTTGCGCAGACTCCATGGTGTGCAAAGACCCCAGAGGAGCAGCTGGAGAAGAGCCGGTGAGAGGAAGTCTGGTTGGAGCTGCCACTCAAGAGGTCAGATTTGAGAGACTTAAGGCCAGTCTGACCTCTCTATCCCATACAGAAGGTGAAGTGCCTGGGACCCACAATAATGTTTTAATTTTAATTTCTTTTAAAATCAGATGAAAATGAATATAATAATAAGCAATATAAAATAATGAATCCAGCCTGCATCTTTATACCAATGCAGTCATAAAATAGAATTTATTTTATTAATTGTTATTTTATAGAGGAAGGGGTTCATAAAGCCAACATCGCTTAGGGCCTATGAAATTCAGTCTGACCCTGGGTTGTGGGATAGTTGGGCCACAGTTCCCAAGACCTCTAAAACCACTGAGCTTATATGTTTACCTGGCGAGTCGGCCAAGGCTGAGAGAGCCCAAACCAAGAATTTGATGACATCCTAATAATGACAATAACGGTACCTAGCCACATTAGTGTACTTAATGCTCTGAGTAACCCTATGAAGTAGGGTTATTTCCATAGAGGTATTAACATCCTCACTTCCCAAATTAGGAAATAAAAAAATGTCTTGCTTAAGGTCACACAGCTAGAGTTCAAGGTTAGATTGTTCTGACCTCTGAGTTCATTTATTTCTATATCACATCCCAGAAGCAACCACCCTGTGAATTATATGACTCTGATTATGAATGAGAAGGAGGTAAATTAACCCTTCATCCAATATCTATTGCGTACTTACTATGTGCTAGGCAGCTCTAAGATGTGACCCTTGACCTCTAAGGCCTCTTAGTTTATTGAGGGTGATAATAAACATGACTCAGCTCTAGGAATGTACAGTGTGTTCTCAGCTCTGTATGAGAAGGGAAGGGAGAGTAGCTCGAAGGATTGAATTGGGGACTGAAAATTATTGTCGGGATTTTATTTTCTCTTCTTTTAGACATCCTTTCATTAAATCCTTGATTTGAAGTTGAACAAACTGAGACTCAGAGTAGTCTAGTGCCTTAGCCACGGTCACAGAGCAGGTGAATGGTGGAACGAGGTATTGATCTCATCCAATGAGCTGCAGCTGGCGCTCTGGTAGGTTTTGATGGATAAGTGGGATTTCAAGAGAGCACAGTGGGGGAGATGCCATTCTGGGCAGAAGGAACAGCAGAAGCCAAGCATGAGTGAAGAGTCTTGTTCAGATGGCAGGTAGTGCAACGTGGCTGGAACAAAAAGGGCATTTTGCCAAGCAGAACCCTGGAAACAGGTGAAAAAGCTTTGGAAGCCGCAGCAAGATAGAGGTTGACCTTCCTAAAGAGAGAGGAAAAACAGGTCTGGCTTTTCAGGAAGATCTCTGGAATCAGGAGGGGTGGGTTGGGAATAGGGAGAGACTGGAGCTAATCAGGGGGCTCTTCCAAAAGTCTGGGCTCAAGGAACCAAAAAACAAGATGCTTTAAATCTTCTAAAAAAAAGTCCTATACTCCTGACATCAGAAAGTCAGAGTGTAATGGGATGGTCTTAAAGTAAAAGCAGGATCGAGATGCTTTGCTATGTACCAAGGCTCCACGCACAGCATCTTCTTTCAAGATCAGAAAGACTGCTGTAAAAATACTTCTGTTTCATGGGTTTTGTAAGGCTAGAAGCCAGAGCACATGGAACTTCACAAGGTGAAATGCATCATAATAAGATTATGTATGTGTGGTATGTACATACATGTATGTGTGTGTGTCTATCTCCGAACCTACAAAGCAACACAAACTTCGAGGTTAATGGACAATGTCTTTAGGGAAAATGACTGGTCTCTGTAGTTTTTGTACACAGATTTGTTGGTAGTGACATAATTCTAGAAAATGTGTTGAAGAGAAGCAAAGCTATAAAAACGTTCAGGGCAGCATGAAAAGCCAACACCTCAATGTGTAGTTCTCTCAAAGAAGCAGTTCCTGGAGGCCAAGGTGGACATTATCCGCACTCCACCTACCGAGAACCTTCATTTGAGCAGCACCTTTTGTCCAAGCCTGGGTGCCACAGAGGTAAAGAAACTCCAACTTGCCTTTGAGAGCAAAGGATGTCTGGGAGAAAGACCTGCCAGCAACAAACTCTTCGCTTTAGTGCCAGATAAATGCTCTAATCCAGGAAAGGGCTAAGTGCTCTGGGGAGTGAGGTGCAGCACACAAGCAATTAATTCTGCCCGGGAGTAGGGAGTAGGCCGTGAGGTCAAGATGGGCTGTGGAGAGATAGCAACATAATAGGGAATACTAGCACCTCGCATTATTTTCTAATGCTCAAGAAATGTAAGTTTCCCCCATTCCATCCTCAATTTGCAGGAGGGTCTCTAAGCTCTTGGAGGACAGTCTCAGGGGAGGGCTTTCATATTAAGCATCACACCCATCAGAGTATAATGGTTATAATTGCTGGGTTGGGCATTCATCCTCCCTCCACTCCCCACCCCCACCACTGTCCTGCCCAATCAGAGAGAGCGAAGGAAGCACAGCCTCCCACCTTTAGGAGAGGAAGTTGAGGGAGTTCTTTGAGGACTAGGTTTAAATAGGAATTTCTTTACAAATAGGTCAAGGTTCTCAGCATCAAAATCATCCAGGGATTACACAGACAACCCGCCCCCAGAATCCCACCCTGCAGGTACTGATCTCAGGGAGGAAATTCACTCAGGAACATGCATTTCTGAGCAAGCTTCTAGGTGATTCTGTTTTAAAGGTTAAAGATACTGATTTAAGTGCTCCAAAGAGAGAGATTTGATGTTGAGGACATAAGCCACTTCCTTGCCACAGAGGGAAGGACACATGGCCACCAGCACCAGGGGGCACCATTCTTGGTCACATTGGAAGTCTTTCTGGTTTTGGGCGTTGGCAACTTGGGCAAGTCTGTCTCAGAAAAGGCTCCCAGGAAGGTGAGTGGATTATTTTGTAGAAAATAGGCAAGAGTGAACAGATCCCTATACAATGTGGTCTTTGCTTCATTTTTTTAAAAAAAAGACCCACTTAAAAAAGGAGAGAATGCGTGAGATTGGGTCAGCGTGTTCTCCCTTTAATGCCCGTTCTTGGCTAGGCTTGGAGTTGAATGTTGGAAATGAGAGGCACCTGATGGTTGATTCTTGCTCTGGGGGATTGGTGTCACATATGGCCGAGAGTGACTTTAGTCTGCACAAGAATCTCCTGGGGCTGATTACACATGTAGGTTCTTGGGCTGCAGCCTCTCTGGGGTGTTGATGCAGGTGGGGTCCAAGCATCTGCATTTGCAACCAGACCCTTGGGTGATTCTGATATGTCTGCACTTTGAAGAGGGAGAAATAGAACTTGAATCTGAAAAAATAAAATAAAAGAGTGGAAATTAGCCAGGCCCTGGAAGTCTAGATAGACACTTTAGCCAAGAAGTCAGTGGCCTTAATTTCCGGCAGCAGGTGTGGACTGGGAACTAAATGTTGGACGCAGATTGTAGGAAAAATGCTTCTGGAATTGCCCTGGATTACAAAAAAAAAAAAAAAAAAATGTAAATTGCTTTGAATTTACATCTGGGTGCTGCAAATGTGATTTTTCAAAGTAATTCATGGTGCTTTTCATCCATGTTTAATTTTTACTGTGTAATGTGTCACAATAAAACAGATATATGTTTGCCTATTAAAATGTCTTAAATCTCTGAGCCTCCATGAGCCAGGCCTGCCAAAAACTGACAAAAACCAATGGGCGTGCATCATTCACTTATTTTATACCATTGTTGGTTCTCGTTTCTGGGCACCTTTAGAAATGAGCTGAAGATGCGTTCTGTTTAATTCTTTACTGTCATGGAATCGCTGTGTAATGGCACAATCAAGGAGGTTTAATTGCCAATAACAACTGTGCTGGGAAATGTGTGATCTAAACGAAGACTCGGCCTAGGATGTATGTAATGGAGTAACCATGCCGTACAGTGAGGCACAGTCTGGTCTCAATTAGCATGTGAATTAGTTGTAAAATTGGTTTAAGATTTTCCAGTGCACGGGGAAGCTCAGGGTCTGTGGAAGAAACGCAGGCTCTGCTCCACAGAGAATTACCCTCTGCATCTTTACCCTGACCTGGGGTCTGCCCACCAGGAACTCACAAGTCAACCTTGGTTAAACTCTTACTTTTATAGGGGGTGAGGAGAGGGGGAAACTCACATCCCTC